ATGCATACGTCTACAGCTCTGCGAAAGGCAGCTCTGGTGGTGAGAGAGTTCATGCAAAACGCGTGAGCAACAGGCGCGGCGTCTGCGATAGCAAAACAACTGCGTTCCGTGAAATGAACGAGGTGTATGACCGTTCTTGTCTGCGAGCTTATGACTATAACTATAAGCTGTTAAGACAACATGCGGAGCGTTTGGCAGCCTTTTGTATATTTAGCAACCACTTGCGGACCAAAAAGCAATGCCCGTAGCGTTTACGCGTAAAGCAACAGCCGGCTGCAGTTATGTTGGCGCTGCGACCCGGGTACGTCTTAAAAGAACTTGTTCAGGCAGTTGTGTTTACACGCAGACACAACGGGCTTGTATGCTTAGTCCGGCCTTTATTAGCGCAGTGGTAAGAATTCCGCTAAATGACACGTCTGAACATCGTCAGCGTTTTTGACGACACTTGAGACAGGTTTTAATTATCGCGTTACATGTTCGACGATCCTGTTTGTTCAGTATTTTGGCATTCTACTTCTCACGTTCTTCGCTATCTGTTTTTTAGAAGTATATCGCCTCTCTGCCGGCTCTTGGGTGTCATGACGTTTCTATCTAAGTCTAGTTGCCCTTTTAAATGTAAACAAACTAGTAAAGCTCGTACGCAAATCAACTTAAACACTGCGTTTATTGACCGATCTCATGTATAGGTTATTACCTGGAAAAGTTCATCTACATGAGGAAATGCAGCATCAATACGAGTAATCATTGTTCCTTAACAATGCCATGCTAAAAGCGATTCGCTAGAAGCGATTCGCATTTATTTATTTCGACAACATACCCACAGATAATACAAAGAGTCTATAATAGGGAGTCTCAAGAGATTCTTGATAATACCAAGGTATACATAACAATGAATTGTGTTTAAATTCAATTAACTTTACGCAGTGTATGTTTTTATCCGTCGGGATGAACTTGCGCTCTTGCGCGTTATTGAAGGATTATCGGCCATGACATTCTGAGTGTATCCAATCCATTTCTTTCCGATTACTGCTAAGACTAGTAAAATCTGCGCAAATTGAATTCTTGGTTAGGAAGGAGCGTGAACAGCAATGGCATCTGAAATAGGATTGCTGATGTCAACGGTGATATATATATATACGTAGCTAGTATTGGTAAGTGTGTGTGTTTAAATCATGGCGGTCTATCCCAGCTTTACTGTCGCCGTTCAACTGGCGCAAGCCTGCAGTCGTGCATGAGACAGGTTCGTACAATTGATCAGAAAAGCAGCAACGGCGGGGAGTGTACAACGAGTATGACCGCATATATATACCGCATGTACCCTGAGTTATTCACGTTTCCTTTGCATAATGACTTTTATAATCCAACACTAAGATGCCACTGACATCATTGTATAGTGTAAATATCAATTACTCCTGTTACGGAGTAAAGACCAGACAGAGAAATTGCTAGGGGAAGGGGATGGGGGATAAGCGCTATTTAACGAATTTATAAACTATGTCGCAGGAAGTTATTCTATGCACATATTTCTATTTCACTATTTAATTGCACATCAGATCGCTTGCGGCGCATTCATTCGCACTGGCAGTTTTCGGTGAATACGAAGGTTCTAAAACATTTTATTGTTACTCTAGACAATTGCTGTTACTCAAGCAATAACGGTAGGTGTCATGAAAGTGGTGAAAACACTGGAAAACTCTCGCAATGGTTACTTTAATATGCATGCGTGGGGGGAATACAGTGCGCGGATTCTGATAAACTTATTGGTTGAGAGAATGTTAAAAGCGGGTACTGGTATGATGTTTGCTCATTCGCCCCCTAGCTTCTACGACACGTCGGAATCAAGCATACTATAGGAGTGCTAATTCTACTACTATATGCGTAGGCCTACGCTCAGAACAAAATAGCATTCTATAGCACGGGATGCACGTCGGCGACGTTACTATGCGGCTGAACGATTGATCATGAGATGAGCTCAGCTCTCGCGCCGCACTCGCGCGTGCCCATCTGTTCACTGCGAACGCGCGCACAATGTAAAGCGCTGTTGCGATTTTACAAAGCGCTTACTCTCCGCACGACCGCTCCTCGCCCACTCTCCTCGGCCACGTATAGCCGCGCTACCGTGGCTCTTTATAAACCGCGATGGCATATAACTGCATGGCGAGATGGAACCCCGCGGGGCTGCCATTCCCGCATTGTGTCGTACCCTCTCTCGCCTCCCGGGAAAGAAAACTGTCGCCGCGCATAGGGCGGCCTGTGCCTTTTACCAGACACAGTATCACAATTGAACTTGCGCACAGACTTATTTTCTGCTCGGTCAGGCGTGAAACGTTTCAATTTAAACGATAAAGAATTCGACATGGACCGGACTATATATAGCTGTATATATATATATATATATATATATATATATATATA